TACGTCATCGCGTCAATGTAGCCGATCTGAATGGGGAACGGCAGGGCACGAAGGGGCTTGGAGTAGATTGGCTGAAGGAATCGCTCCTTGTAGGGTTCAATCAGCTCCCAAACGGCACAGTTGGCCGCCTTGGCGATGAGTTCGAGTGATCGCTTCGCAGTCTCGCGAACATGGCGATTCATATGCGCCAATTCCGTATTGAACTGCATGCAGATTTGTGCGAGGCGGGACCTCTGTTGCGGCGGCTGACCCGGGTTTTGCTGTGGCATGGCATCCTCCTTCTTGATGTTCTTTGTGATTCTTTGCAACAATGTCTCCAAGGTGACCTGGGCAGATCTTCTAGTCTTCTCAGGGAGGTCCTGGGGCATGTCCTTGATGACGTACATGAGAGAGCGAATGAACTCAATCTGCTTGCCCGCAACCCATAGGTCACCTAGGTCAAGCTCGTTGAGAAGGAAGTTGATACCAAGCGAGCCGCCAGTTTTGGTGAACCACTCTTCTTCGTAGCAGCCATGGCAGAATGTGGTGCTCAAGTTATTGAAGAGAGGCAGCCTAGCAACACTCTGCTCATTGCCCAGAATTGTGGTGGCAGAGTCATACACCTCCCGGATCGCGCGCTGCGCAGATTCTCGTACCTCTGGGTGATCCGAAGCCAACGATTCCACGATAGCATCAGAGAGCACCCGGGTATCAATAAAGAGTGGGCCTTCTCCGGCATTGGGATCGAATGGGCTGTACGTTCGCTTGACGTCAACCAAGGCTCGGCCGACCTCAATGATTGTAAAGTGCTTGCAGATGTTCATGAGGAATGCCTGTGCTTCTTCCTTGAAATCAGGCAGAGACTCGGCAAACATGACGGCCTTCAGCAAACGCTTAAGTAGGTCGTCTTGCTCATCCTTCTTGGGAATAGATCGCTCTCTGTCGTGTGTTGTAAAAGCAGAGAAGTCAAAGTCGATTCTTCTGGCGGCTAGATCTTGAGCTTGGAGGCGCAGAAGTCTAGGCATGTCGTCGGGCAAGTTCTCGAAGCCGATCCGCATCTTCAGCTGGGACTTGACGAAGTGGAAGGATTGCTTCTTGTAGTAGCCATCATACTGACGCGACTGGTTTCCCTTGCCGGCCTTTGGCTGCTCCATCAACTTTCTAATAGCGAAATCGACACCTGTCTCCGCAGGGAAAGCTCTATCCTTCTTGGAGCCGATCAGGCGGAGATCGAAGCTGGTCGGGTCGTCGGCGTAGTCCTTGTAGTTGAGGGGTTGCGCGTCGGTCATGAACTTTCGGTTGCGGCCTCCAAGCTTTCCAAGGATGCGCATCGTTGTGTGAGCGTGGAAATGACTGTAGGGATGGGGTTTGAGATGGTCAAACAGCGCCGTCATCAACTCATCAATGACCGGAGCCATGATGGGGTCCAGATAGTCTGCAGTAAGGTTGTCGACACAGAGCTCCAGCGTCCGCAGTCCTTGGCCAACTAGATCAGTGTTAGCGCGCAAGGCGACAACCAGTGGCCGCATCAGGAAGCTGAGATGGGGCAACAAGTTGCTGAGACGTGCCGGCACCGTCAAGCACAGCTCCACGTAGAGGTCACGCTCGGCAGGTTTTCTTGCTGCCATGAGCAGGTTGTTGAGCACATCCAGCAGCATTTCAAGTAGTGGCAAGATCTGCTTATAAAGATGCTCAAACTTGCCGCCACCAATGCTTCGGAACAACGATCTCAGGAGTAGGAAGTAGTTCATGGGCTCTTCAGCCTTTGTCGACAGCTCAATGGACTTGGTGACAATATCCACAACGTGAGGAAGCAGGACCTGTTCGTTCTGATTGGCGAAGAGTGTAACTGCCATGAAGGCCAACTTGAACAGCCTCAGCAGAATTGACGACTTTTTGACGTCCGCTGAGCCAACTTGGTCGATTCTCTCCATCAAGAAGCGCAGCAACATGCCGCAAAAGCTTGGTGAGGTGGCTTCGCTTGCGAGGAAGAACTGAGGGATGTGGAGCAATCCCGTGTGCTCAAAGATCATGTCGTACAGGTGGGGGATCTCTTGCTGGAAGACTTCGTGGAACGTCGCCGGATCAATGCAGTGGAAGACAGTCGCAAACGTCTCGAGTAATTCCTTCTCTTCCTTACTGCTAGAAACCATGTAGAAGTTGGCCATATACTCCACGGGCGACATGTACTGGGACTCGGTTGCCGGCTTCTCAATTTCGTAGTAGCGGAAAACGTAGGCGCCCTCTCTGAACAGCTTCACGATGACGTTAACCTCCTCAGCTGTAAATCCATAGGCGACATCTTGCCAGTGTTGAGGAGCATTCTGGACGTCGATTACGTTGTTGACATTGCACGTTCTGAGCTGGTAGAAAGTGTTCTTCAGCCCGTTCATCAGGTTCTTAAACAGGAACTTGTTGTCCACAACGGGGTCTGCGCCTCTGTCCCTTGGATTTGACGTTTTGATCGGCATGGCAGTGAAGATGTCGGTCTCGTCCCAGTCAGGCGGGTGATCCTTGTCCGCAAGGTAGCTATCCTGGGTTCCGTCAGCGGCTTGCTGGGCGTAGAGTTTCGAGAGCTTCACTGCGTTGGGATACTGTCTATTCATGGCCACGAACTTGTCGCCAATAGCGTTCAGGATCATGATCAGATAGTGCCGCGCGTCGACCTTGTTAGGCATCTTGGCGATGCACTCCGCCATATTAAGGAGGAGTTTGGCGCTCATGGTCTGGAAACTTGTCCCTGGGAAGTTATCCTGGAGGTTTTTGGTGTAGACCTCCACCGTCTTGCGAATTTGCTCCGGCGTGAGACTATCGCGAACGTGATGGATGAGATCGGCGAGCATGCTATACGCGAGCGGTCTCATAGTCTCGTACACTGTCAGGCCATCGCCGATCAACGTCTTCTCGTCCAGGAGCTCGTCAATCTTTGGCAAGAAGATCTTGCGGAAGTTGAAGTTGATGATATGCCTAATAGCAACAAGCAGCTCCTTACGCGCACTTGACTTCTCTCTTGGGCAGTCCTGCAGGAGCCGAACCACGATCTCAGGTAGTGTCGGTAAGAAATCTGTCAATTGCTGAGAGTATTGACGCAAAAGGTAAGCCAGAAAGCTCATCGTCTTAACCTGGGCTGTGATGAATTCGCCGAAAGCGGCCCGGTTCTTAATCAACGGGCTGACTCCTGTAAAGATCTGTCCCCTAGCCTTCGCATCGGCATGTGCCTGCTTCTGCGCGCTCGCCTGGAGGCAGAGGAACCCCTTAATAAGAGGGACGAAAGCCTTAACGTTTGACGCAACAGTATTTCGATAGACCTGGAAGACGGAAACTACAATGATGGGGCATTCCGAGAGGACTTTGAAAGACTGCATGCCCTTCAGCAGCAACCGATTCTGCTGCTGGGGATCCGGGCCGAGATCTGTGACCGACGCTACGGGGGAGCCCGGTCTAGGTGACTGGAAGTTCGTCTGGGAGCTGCCTGGCGTTGATGGTGCGCCAGAGTTTGATGCCGTCGAGAGTGACGTGTTGTCCAGCTGTTCCCGCACGACCTTCTCCATCTGTTCGAAGAGCTCCTGGATCAGGTTGAGGAATGCCTGCACCTTGCCCTGCAGGACTTTGTGTTGGTGACGCATGACATCCGAGATAATCTTGACGCATAGCGTCGCATTCTCTTCGTTGTCCGTTCGGACCAGCTGCATCAGCAGATCGACAACCTCTTCCGCGTAGGGTTCGAAGGGTTCGGTCGGGGATGGTGTCGCTGGCAATCGATTGAGGACCTCGAGGATACATGTTCGCAGTTTCTGGGATCCAATGTCAACGGGCGCACTCATCAAGGTTGATGTGGGGATGGCTCACCTGCTCCGGGGAGTTGCTCTGGAAGATGCATGGTCCTCTTAGGATGGCGAGGAAGATCGGAACCATTCGCTTCAGGAAAGGGGGGTATATGGTCCCGTTGGTGTAGTGATCTAAGCTGTCGCGTAAGGTAGTCGCCGCCTCTAACCTGACTCTCGAGTCTGTACCACACACATGTCAGCAAGACCATGACGAAAGGTGATGCGCCTCCACCACGGTGGGGTTCCGGGTTCGAGGAATCGATCGCATCGCATCGCACGAGAGGTTCGTTCCGTACCCGTGTCCGGACTGCTAAGTCGCTTGACGACATCGTCAATTGTGGTGCCCGACATGGCGGCGTCAATGGCCCTCGGGGGACGCGTGATTCGTTCCCATGCGTGGGAGGGGAGGGTATCGTAGATGACTTCGTGTCGCGGCGAGGCTGATGGATCGAGGATGCGGATGAGAGCGCGCGCCGGAGTTGGAGGGGTATCTCGTAAACGATGGGAAAGGGAAAAAAAAGGCCGCTGGTGGTTATGAATGTGAATAGAAGGACCAAAAGGTAATTTTACAATTCCGGTCTGTCTTTCGCGTGTGCCTTGGTTATCGGGGTGCCCCAGTCGTTTCCCAATCACTCAAGGTCGCGCGGCTTGGTTAAATGGATTTGATGGCCCAGGCTCGACGTGAGCTCTCAAATTTCCAAAGGCAGTCGCGAAGCTGGGGGAACGAGCCGCCAAATCATTTGGCGCTAGGTATCTGAAGAATATTGATCCGTGGCTTAGGCTCCATAAAAGTTCCACCCGGAGGGCCTACCGGGCCGCGTCTGGGGGCAGGGGTGTTTGCCTAAAGCTCCTTATCTTGTCTGGAGAGCGATAAGAGCTCCGGCCGCCGGTGAATCGTGGTCCGGAGGCGGGCCGGGATTCCACCTCATTCTTCGGTCACCTTTGTTCAGTCTTACATCGTTGCTTGCCTACGTTGGGTTTCTTTCACGTTTTCAAACGGCTTTTATGCAGGCAAATTATTCTTTCATGTTTGTGTGAAGTCCACAAAGAAAAGTAAAGACAACGGTTTTATGTGTTGGCATTTCTAAGTGTACCAATCCACCTTAATCAGGCAGATCGGTATTCGCAAGTTTGAATCGGGAGGCACAAGTGAGTTACCAGTCTCATTTGAGATTGAAGAGGAGTGTATAAAGACTAGATTCTCGCGCACTGGTTTTCTTTTCGACGGCCTCTGCATCGTCAACGCTTGGGCAGCAACTCTCATTTGGTCAACTTCAACATCTCACGAAGTCATCCCGATAACACATAACCTACCTACTTCTGTCCAACACCAAGAAAACGTATCCAAGATGAGCGGACCGCATACAGCCTTCTTCTACGGTAAGTCTCAACGTAGTATTTCATGACCACCAGCTAACACTCTCGACAGGCACTCTGGTCAGTCACCCACCTCACCCTCGTCAACCTTTCGGGAAGCTCATGTGACTAACACTCCTCCCTAGATGGAGCCCAAAGTCTTCTTCACGGTCGTCCAAGGCAACGGCAACCCGCCCCAGGCAATCAAGGACCTCTACACATTCACGCCCGCCCTTCTGCACGACCACACCCGCCACCGCGTCCAGCTGGCCGACTACCCGGGCATGATCCCCGAAGCCGGCGGTTCTGTTCTGGGCATCTACGCCACGGGTCTCACGGACGCCAACGTCCTCAAGCTCGACTTTTTCGAGGGCTCCGAGTACGAGAAGAAGATGGTCACCGTCAAGGTCCGCGGCGGCGGCGGTGGTGGTGCTGGTGCTGGTGCTGGTGCGGAGCAGAAGGAAGAGGACAAGGAGGCCATGGCTTACATCTACAAGCGCCCGGAGAACTTGGAGCGCGTGGAGTGGTCATTCGAAGAGTTCCGCAAGGACAAGATGCACGTCTGGACGCGCGAGAGCTATGTCTTTGAAGGTGAGACAAGCCACCGTCTCCTTTTCAATTTCTGGATGGAGGGCGAACTGGCTTGGCTGGCCGAGGGAGCACTTTTTACTGACATTGGCAAAATCACAACTAGGCTGCGACGATTATGCAGAGTTTGAAAAGGTAGAGAAGGAAGATGCAAACGGTCACGAGGAGAAGAAGGATGCTGGTGCCAAGTAGAGTGATGCTTGGCTAGGGGACTTCAATTAGGTCAACATGCCTCTTCTTTTCCTGTTCTTCTCTGTCACATGGCGGCAAACGGCATTATTTGATGGGCTCTCACGGCAGGCGGCCGACGCAGGTCTGCGACAGGGCCGGTAGGGCGGTGTGAGGTGGACATGTCAGCGCCGCCGCTCTCACAAGGCAGACGGGCAATTACGATGTGACGGATAGATGAAACCAGGACGCGATATCAGCAAACAGAGAAGACGACGTCTTGTTAACCAGTCATGCACCATGAATGAGTTGACGACTGCCGCCAGCCTTGGCGCGCAGGGCTGCAGTGCGTGAGTACGTGTGCCTTCCCCCCGTAATGTGATGTGATGTTGTCGTGGCTGTCGTCGTCGTCCTATGGCCAGGTTTGGGCGGCAATGCAACCATTCAAAGCGGGGGAAGCCCTCAATCCGAGGGGCAGCCTTGATGATATCAGCAACGCCCATGGTAAGTGCACTAATACTCGCTGACCAGAAAACAGCTTCTGAGTGGTCCACGCTCATGCAAGCTTGCTGAGCGAGCATGCAGGCCCGGCGTTTTTTTGTTGAGCGGCTGAGAATCATGCCATCACAAAACGAGCCACAGGAACTTACACTAGCTCAGGAACAGGCGCCGATACGTCGTGTAAAGTGCCTCCTCGTGAACAATGCCGGCCCACTCTTGAATTCAAGCATGCTAGTAGCGGCTGACTCTTGAGCGCCGGGATTTCCAGCTACGCAAGGATGGTAGTCCAGAGGCATCCGATGAAGAATACTATATCGGTACTATATCGGCATCTGTAAGCTGCTCTCTTGTGGCACAGGAAGCGAAGCGAGTTGGTCCTACGTACCGCAAAGCCGGTCCCTTTTCTCGGGGAGCACGAAGTACGAGCCACAGGGGGCATAGTATACGAGAGAGATCTGTGGCTCCGGCAGGCAGGGGAAGCCACACCGCGCCACAAGCCGTTGCTCGCAAGGTGGCACCGAGCAGGGGTGGCTGACCGCGGGTGGCGTTTCCTGGGAAATATTCGGATCTCCTCGTGAGGTTGTGGCTCAGAGGCGATCTTTCCTGCCTCGGCGCGCTCGAATTGGGTGTTCGCCAGGGATAGCCCTCCCCACCGAGATTGATATGTGTCGTTGCCCATGACTTAAGCTGATGGCGGCTCGACTGCCCAAAGGAGAACGGCGAAGAATAGGGTATTGGTAAGGGGCCATCAGGTGGTAGAGGTCATGTCGGGGAATTCATGCGCGGGCGGGAACGGGTGCCGTTTCGTAGCTGGTACTGCGCCGGGCTGTGTGCGCTGGCGGACGATCAGTGTCGCAAGTACGAGACTCGGTTCAACCAGATCGTCCGAACATGAAGGAGAAGTTGAGAACATGAGAGAAGACGGGCCTCCCAGCGCTGGCTGCCTTCTCAGCTCCCGTGGGTGCGTGGCTCCCTCCCACACCTCCCTCCCTTACTCGGATCGTCTTTCCAGACGGCGCTTGTCGAGCCTGGGCTCATTCTACCCAATGCCCAACCAGCTGCGATGTTCAGGGGAGGCAGCAACACGGACGTGGACGGGCCAAGATGAAGGACGAGGGATTTGTCGAAATCATCAGACGATGGAAATCTCGACCGGGGGCAATAGCGTACCGGACTCGAGAGAGCCATAGCTATCTGTGTAGATGATAGATGAGGATGCGTCGACGCATGGGGTAAAGAATTACGTACTGCGCCGCGCGCAACAAACCGACCGAGATATCTCGTCTCTTGTTGCTCTCAGTGTCACCCTCCTTCCCCTCCCTCGTGAATGAGCAACATGAGCCTCTTTTCTTTCTTTCTCGTGAGCGGTCCCTGTCGATATCCACTCGGCCGTGGAATTCGGGCCACCACCATCCGGGAATTGGACGGTGGACCACGGGGTGGCGATCAGCAACGTGACAGTGGACGACATCCGGTGAAATGTCCCTCTACGGTCGGGCAAAGGCCGGGGGACAGTGGTACGTATCCGTATCCGTAGTGCAGAGAGTACCTAGAATCTGCAGGGTTCAGGTTGATGGACCCGTGGTCGCTTTGGGCCCTGGGGGTTTGATGAACCGTGAACGTGCCAGAGTGACAGCCGGACGACGGGCTGCGTCCACGGTCGCAGAAAGAGCAGCTAGCTGCTAATGATCACGTAGTAGAAGCATGAAATGCTTACGAAGTAGTAGGCCTGAGAGCTTCGGCGCACGATACTTGGTCGTTGTTGTCCACGTAGTCGTCCCGTTGCTGTCAAACGACTGGCCAACGTCAGAGCAACCCGAGAGTTAAGCACCTTAGGCTAACAGCTCGTGACAGGTGCTCAGCTAACGAACGAAGCTGGTTCGTTCTCTAGAGCGCTTACCCCAAACGCGGCGGATAGGAGGGGAGGGGGAAGGTCGTTGTGACGACGTTTTCTCGATGGAGTTGGACAAAGGAAAAACGACTGGCCCCGGCGTGCTAAGACTGAATCGCAGATGCCATGCGATGCGGCATGCCATGTTCCCGCTTTCTGCGGTCCGCGATGGCCTGTGAAGCGACTGACAGATGACTTGACTGGTCTGAAGAAACAAACGGTTGAAAAAGCTTAGCTTGAGAGAAGATTCAAGAACGCAGGAACCATATGATGCCGCACGCGGCGCAATTGTTCCCATTAACAGACAACTGTTAATATCCCATTGATTCGTTGTCAGTGGTTCGTAGGTACAGGTTCAAATGTCCGAAAGGAGAAGAGGCGAACTTGGGTGGTCGTGAAACTGGCTTCGTTTCACATCCTCGCTTCTGCGCAGGGGTGTTGGAGTTGGGGGCTCCTGCCAGCAAGTCTCGTCTCCTCCCCAGACATTTTGCAGGAAACCACCACGACCACCCAGTGACCCCTTCCACGAGACCCTGCGTCCACTACAACGTAGCATGTGTGACGACCGATTAGCCTACCATTTGTTCCTGGACGATGGTATATTAGCACATTAGGTGCGACGAGAAAGGAAGGAGCCCATGTCAAAGTAGGGCTTCTTCGGGTGCACTTGTGAAGTGGGCACGATTAACGAGAGGGCAGAAAAGGCCTCAAGTTTTGTGTGGACTGTGGACTGGAGGACTCCCAGCCCGGGGGTACGTGAACCCCTGAACCGAACCGAAAAATGCACAGAACTTCAAGAGAAGCGAGAAAACAACCCTTGCACTTGCACAGGAGGATCTGCTCGCCTGGCCCCGCCTGCTCTCCGATTTAGCGGGGAACATCCAGATGGGCAGGTCGCAGTGTCAGTGTCAGGGGACTTTGGCCTGTCCTTTGCATGTCAACATGGGTACCTAGGTCTCGGCACTGGGATGTAGAGACTTTCTTTCTGGGAGAGAGAGAAGAGAAAGAAGCAAGTGCGCATAGGAGAGTGAAAACGAGTGGCTGTCGTGAGCCGCTCACCGTTCCTTATTTTCATGTCGTCGGTGGAGAAGACCGTTGATCGTTCAAGCAACTATTAGACCGCCACAATCCATATGCACGACTCTGTCTCTATCTTGACCTGAGGCTTAGGTAAGGTGGTTCCACGAACACACGTGTACGGATACGGATACAGTCCCCACTATCAGGCCAACACCGGGAGACAAGGTACACTCACTGCCACGGCGGCACTACCGGGAAGAGACTTATGACGTGTTAAGACAACAGCTGCAATAAACGGTTGCGCAGATTTTACAGCGGTGCTCCCTCGCACTTACCTTTCTTCCTCTCCCAAGGTTAAGATTTCGCCTTCCAACTATCCACAAGCCAAAACGTCCACTCTAAATGCGCCTTGTCGCCTAGGGCCGGGGCCAGATGAGTAATACCGAGGTCGAGACGGACCAGATTGAGTTGGGGGAGCATCCGATGGCAATTCAACTCTCTCAGTTTACGTACTTGAGTCTCTCTGCGAAGAACATGTGTTTAACTCTCCACAACGGGGATGATCCATTGACTGACTCGGGAGAATCTTGTCGATCAACGCGACTTTGTTCATATTGGGTCTTGGCTTCTTAGCTTGTCAAGCGACAATGCACACAATGGATGGAGGGATGGGGCCTGACTGATACACTGCATTCCATTTCGCGCATTGCTGCTCCCTCCCTCACTCAGCGCACCGAGGTGTGGAGGTGTGTCTCTCGGTGTGAAAGGTGAGCTGAACTAGCAGCAAGGTGTGCCCCCCGAGAAAGCCACGAAAAGCCAAGGCATCTCGTTCCAAAGTCTCACCACCGGCTCGAGATGCCCGTTGCATGTCTCGCTTTCGCCTGCCATGCTTAGGTCTGGGAAGTTTTTTTTTAGTTCTTCTTCACCTTGGTCAAGAGTAAGACATTTTACAAGTGGACTGAGGATGATTGTCGGTCCCAAAAGTTCATGTCTTGGCCCGCGGTCAATTCACTGCAAAAAAAAAAAAAGGAATGACATGGAAATCGCGGAACCAGCTCCATCGTCGAATCAAAGTTGAGATGTCGTCTGCCCCCTTTCTTCTTCGTTCCGTACCCCCTCGCTCCCCAGGCCTTGCCGAAAGCCGTGGGTGCGTGGTTCAGCGGCACAGCAGATCCCCCTGTCTTCCACGATTTTTTTGACTTGCGTTTTCCTTTCCGCCCACCTGTCCGATCCCTGACCCTGATATTTTCCTCCTCTGTTTAACACGTCCTCCCAGGCTCCATATTCCTTCATCACCCGCGTTGCGCGTGCACCAAGCTCATTGGGCTGGATGGGCGGGAGAGGCTCGCTGCGCGACAACGGCGGCGACACCATGGAAGCCCAGTGCCCAGTCGTTGCAGGTCTTGGTCTTGACTCTTGAAAGCCACCCCTTGCCCATCCCTCTTTGGCATTAGTCCCCATCAGGAATGACTGCGCTCTTGTACCCCTGCAACTCAGAATCGTGGACAGGGGGCAGATGCACCAATTCTCTCTCTCCCACACCAAGGCACTGGACTCTCGCTCACGAGGTGAGCATCCGAAAAAGAAGGCCCTGTAAACTGGAAAGCGGCGTAGCCAATGCGATCAGGCAGGGTTGCGCCGCACCGTGACGTATCTCTCTCTCCGCGAGGGTATGCGAGGGATCTAAGTGGCCGCCACCGAGGCCTTCGGGCGACAGAGAGCGAGGGCCGCAAAAGATGGCCGCCGATGGATCACCACTATCCCCAGTCCCGTCTCCGAATCCAAGGTTCGACATGTCCTGATTGGAGGCCGCCTATTGTCCCAAAAAAGAAAGGGAGAAACGACGTTCGGGAAAGCGCGAAAAGTCTGGAATGGACTGGACTGCTTCGCCCTTTTCGTGTTTCGACGATCTTGACTTTCGACCCAGTCAGTGCATACGGTCGAGCCGTCAGTCAGCAAACGAGCCGCGCTACCGTGGCGCGCTGCTGTCTGTTTGCCTGTCAGGCAAAGTTTGTGTTGTTGAAGAATTAACTACCAGGCCCAGGTATACTACACTCATCCTTGAGGCTTGGCGAGGCGAAGGCAACCACGCAACTCGCCTCTTTACCGTCCAAGGTGAGAAGTACACCGGATGAGATGACTAAACTTGCATCGCAACGCCTCCCTTCTAATCTAGACTCGAGCAAGACTAAGATAGTCTGGACGAATACATTTAGTAACAGGAACAGGACGGGAACCAAGAATACTAGAGAGTTGGGTGTGGCAATCTACCTTCTGACTCTCACCACCCAGACTAGAGATACCTACTACTGCATGCTGTGATCGTCTCCCAGATGGTGCCTTGCAGTAGTCCCCGCCGATTTTGGTGCTTCTCCTGTCTTGAAAGCTGCAGCTCGAGCGCTTCAATGTTCCTACCGCTCTTCTAGAGCAAGTTGAGGGTTGCCATCTAAGCACCAGATGGAAACGTGTGGTTGCACCTATGCGATCCTCCATATTCCCGTGTCTACCACCCTCGCCCCTTACAAGTAGGTAAACTACGTATGTATGTCCGTACCTACCTTAGTAGGTGGCATAGAAAGATACGTATGGACGGTACGGCTCCAAAGTACCGATACTATGCAAGAAAGGAGCTGGTGCCAAAAGGATACGTACCGAAAGAGCCATGGAACGTGCTCTCGTGCTCCGTTAGCGTATTCCGAGCACCCAATGGGACGTCGTTCCTGGACGGGAGTGGTAAGGGAACGTACTGCGTTGTCCGGTGGGTCCCTGGAGTCTAGAATCCACAACATGGTGTACATGGGCAAGGTACTCCGTACCCATGCTCCCTGCATAGTCGCTCCCTGCTCCCTGCTCCCTGTCTCCAGTCTCGGACCTCCCCTCCCACTAGCGCACCATCCTCGGTGTCACTTGTCTCTCTTCCCACCTCGTCCCAGCCATTCGATCCTCGCCATCAACGACAGCTCGGAAAACTCCTCACCAATCCCTCCCCTATAGTCTATACCACTTCGACTCTGGTCCACAGATGCACCGCAGGACAACCCTCCCTCCTCCCCCGCCTTTGGCTGTCCTTGGCTCCTCCTTAGACAAGTTTAGTCAGGGGCATCCGTCGCTCGAAAAGACCGCAGCCCAACCCGCAACGCACCATGGCGCGCGCCTTGCTGCAAGGTCCCCGTCCCCCCATGTCCCACCCACCTAGTTCTACCCAGTACCAAAGTCCACCACCATCTGTCTTTCCCAGGAACATGGCATGGTCTTACCGTCTTAGTCTCTGCCGCGAGACCATGGGTCAAAGTCGACAGGCAGACGACAGCCGCAGCTCGAGCTCCATCTGCCTCTCTCTCAGTCTCTCTCTCTCTCTCTCTCTCTCTCTCTCTCTCTCCTCCACACCCCTGCCCACTCACAAGAATGTTTAGTCCGGTCTTTTTGAGCCATGTCGAAACAAGCCGAGAGGCATGTCTCCGGCCTATCATAGCCTCAAGGCCATGCCTCTCCTTCTTCAACGGCCTGCCCCTGTACCCCTCGGTCGATCCACCATGCTTCGAATCCCCTTGATCTGATGCCCATGTCTGGTCTTGACTGGCCCATTTGCTCAACGCCTGTCTAAAAAGTACGCCATGTCTCTCCCGTCCCAAGTGGACCGATCTTGTTCAGCTACTCATCCTCCCGGTCCGACCTCCAGTCCATCGTTCTCCAGTCCTTCTGGGATTACCGCCGTTCTCTGCTGCAGCTCGTGCTTATTGCTTTTTTGCCTCTCCTTTCCCGTATCCATTCGCTGGTCACTAAGTCACTCTTTACACTAAGCCCGGCATATTCTGTCCGTGGGGCCCTGTCAGTCACAGTCACAGTCACTAAGGCACTCGTTTTTTTTGTCCATCATCCCTTCTGGTCTGTTTCCGGTCTTATAAGACCTGGCCTTGTCCGACCTCACATTCCCATTCTACTACTCCTCATCCTCTCGGACCATCACGTCTTCTCGCATTCTTTGGGCTTGGCAAGAACTTGTCGTTTCGACATCTTACCTTCTCTCACTTCTCATTCAACAAGGCTAGTCCTTATTCTTCTTCTCAACTTTCATCAACATATCCAACTCGCCTGGTGCAAATACCATCCTTTCCGGAAACCAACGAACACACAAACGAAAACCGAAACTTCGAGACCCATCGACAGCTATCCGATTCTCAACCTTCACTCCAACACTTTTTTGTTGAAACATACCGCAACGTCAAAGCTTCCTAGCAAGACAAAGCGAGAAGACATTGTAAGTACCTGGAATGTTGCGGGATCATCTTCAAAGGAACGGCACGCAGCCTTGGCTATCCTTGGCCTGATTCGATGCCTTTGTCCGACATCGCGGCCCGCGCTGTATCACAAGCAATGTCATTCTTCGAAGGACCCAGTCCCGTCACACCGGGACTTTCACGGTCGTGGCTGTGGCTGGTTGCTTCGAGTCGGGCCTGTTGGGGAACAGATGCGCTGTCGAAGATGCTGGATCTTGTGTAATATCTAGGTTGAGTCGAGGACTAACATGCTTTATAAAGGTACTCATTCTTCGGAAACCACAACAACTTTTTTAACTCAACCCACAGTCTCAGCGACAACCACACGATATCAAGATTCTTACGTCTGGAACGTTTTAGATTCTTAACTTCACAACCCAAAAATCCACTCAACATGTACGCCAACGCAATCGTCGCCTTCGGCCTCGCCACCCTCGCCAGTGCCCACATGAAGATGAGCTCTCCCGTCCCCTACGACAACGCCAACCTCGACAACAGCCCTCTTGAAGCTGATGGCAGCAACTTCCCCTGCAAGTCAAGCAGCTACAACGCCGCTGGTGCCTCCAACGTCTACGCTCAGGGCGCCACTGGCGACTTGGCTTTCATCGGTTCTGCTGTCCACGGCGGTGGATCTTGCCAGGTCTCTATCACCTACGACGCTAAGCCCGACAAGAACAGTGTCTGGAAGGTTATCAAGTCCATTGAGGGCGGATGCCCGGCCAAGAACACCGCCGGCAACCTTGGTGACAACGCCAACCAGGCGGGCAAGGACACGTACGATTTCACCATCCCCAAAGATATTCCCGCCGGTAACGGTACCATCGCTTGGACTTGGTTCAACAAGGTCGGCAACCGCGAGATGTACATGAACTGCGGGCCTGTCACCATTACCGGAGACGCTGGCTCTAAGACTTCCTACGAAGCCCTTCCCGACATGCTTGTTGCCAACATCAACGATTGCAAGACCACTGACAGCATGGACCTCAAGTTCCCCAACCCGGGCTCTTCTGTTGACAACTTTTCTTCTGGCACACTCGCCGAGCTTCCCGATACTGCGGCCTGCCAAGCGTTGAAGGCTGGTGGTGGTTCAGGCGGCGGCTCTACCGGCTCTCCCGCGCCCAGCTCTACCGCTGGTAATGGAGGTGCCGCGCCCACCTCCGCCCCGGCTTCGTCCCAGCCCTCCGCTTCCAAGCCTACCGGCAACGCCTCCCTTCCTGGCGGTGTCTTCATCACCGTTCCCGCTAACGGTGGTGCCTCGGCCACTCCTACTGCCTCTGCCTCCGCTACCAAGGCACCTGCAGTCACTCCCAGTGCTGCCCCTTCTGTCGCCCCCTCCGCCGCTCCTTCGTCTGGTACTGGAAGCGGCAACGGAACCACCGCCGGTGCTCAAACTGTTGGCGCCGCCTGCACTGATGAGGGCGCCTGGAACTGTGTCGGAGGCAGCTCATTCCAGCGCTGCGCCAGCGGTACCTGGTCATCTGTGCAGGCCCTTGCCGGCGGCACCTCTTGCACTGCTGGCATGAGCTCTGAGCTGAGCATGGTTGTGACCCGAAACGGCCGCAAGCGTGCTCTCCGCCAGCGCTCCCTTCGCTTCCGTTCCGCCTAAGCTGGTCGACGACGGACTCATTTAACGAACGGTTTAGCATTTACGGGATATGATACCTCGGGAGCACACTGGTCGAGTCATGATCAACATACAGGATACGACACATTCAGATCTACGGCGTTTTTTTTTTTCTTTCTCCTTGAACATTTACAACCACTTTTGTATATATCACTGTACACTTTTTCGCATGCCCGCACCAGGGTCACATGTTTAGATCACTCTTGGTCAATAGGGGAAAAAAGTAAGAGATCATCAATAGCATAAACATTTGCTCGTCAACTCTTTTCCGAATTCTGAATCCATGTGACGTGAAACAATTGGCGGAGTTGTCCAGATGCTCGAAAGCTCGTTCAGCTCCCAGCTAGCTACAATGCGCTCACTTATTCCAAAGCTTCGCACCTCATCTTCCCATCTCTAGTCAAAGCGCAAATGGGCGCCTGGCCACTCAAAAATCAGAGCTCGACAATCCGATGTGGCCACTCTAACACGCACCGCGGGGAAGGCCCTTGAATATGGTCGGTGACCTCGTGGGGTTTGAGGGAGGGGGTTGCTTTAGGGCAGGGAGCTTGACATAACTTAAACCTTGGCCATATAGCAGAAAACTTGTTCCATGTTTAACAAGCACACGCCAATTCGCACTGAGAGTCCCATTACCGCGTTTGACGTTTGAGAGTTTCCGCGTGGGGCCCTTTCTCTCTTTTCGAATGGGAGCTGTTCCCTGTCGAGCTGAGCGAGACTGACACATGCCACTTCAGACGGGAGGGTGCGCATGGGCCGAGATCGACACCGAGGACTGAAGAATGGGTGTGGATGAAAGTTTCCAGACGGGGACGATTACACACTCCCGCTCGCACTAGATGAACTGTAACTCTTCTCGTCTCTTGATACACTGTTTGACATTTGTATCGATTTCAGCCCTGAGCTTGACGCGAGATTCGTGGACCGCGATTTGTGATATGCATGTTCCCTGGGTATAATCTTTTCTCCATCAACGGCACCTCGTCGCTTTCGCGTCTCTAATCATACTCTCCCCGCATTTTAAAGAGTGGTGAAACAATGTCGACAAGCCAAAACCGCTCCAAATCAGAACTGAGGAGGAAAAAAAAAAAAAACGCCTTGCCGTCCCCGTGTCATTCGATATCTCATGTCGTGATTTTCATCCCATCCGGAAAAAAACGCCTTCCTCCTCGCCCCCTCTTATAACCAGGTATCCCCACCCTTCTCGGCTCTCCTGCCCATCACCCGACTCAGCAACCCTTTCCTGGGTTCAGTGTCTCCCTTTCTCAGCGAAGAAAGCTTAACCGGTACCACGAACGGGTCGAGTTCGATACCCACGTTCGCCCGCCCGTCATCGCCAACGTACCGTCCGAAACTGAACGTCGCGCCCTTTAGGCTCTCGGGCCCGTCGTACTCGCGTACCGCCCTGCTCGGCGCGACGTAGGCGAGGATCGATCCGATGGTCGTCGGCATGCGCGGGAGGAAGTGCTTGATGGAGAAGCCGTAGAGCGTGGCGGCGACGAGGATGTTGATGCCGAGCACCACCAGGCTGATGATGAGCGCGGTGGCGTCCAGAAAGATGCGCGTCTCACTCCTGCGCTGGACGCCCGTGATGGTGACGGGCTCCGGGTACTCGAGGAAGAGAAAGGAGGGGTTGAGGCCTAACATGAGAACGTAGAGCTGTCGGTATATCCGTTCGACGGTCGGTGCGAGGGCGGTCGCGTTCGGAAAGACGGTCGGGTCGAGGACGTGGCTGTCCGGGTCGGAGATCTTGATCAGGTAGTTGAACCAGTCCAGGGACAGGCTGTCGTTGTGCCATCGCAACCCGTCCTTGAAGAAGACTTTGTTGAGCAAAACCGCAACCGCGTCGGTGTGGTTGGTGGACATGGGGTAATCGAGAGTCGGCGATGGCTCTGAAGCCAGAACGGAGTGGGAGATGCGACCGTCGCGGTCTACCGTGATGTCGAACATTGCTGTCGTGAAGGTCGGCTCGCAAACGAGAAACGTAGATTCCATCTTCCCATCCTTCTTGTTCGTGATATTCGGGGCCCTTGCCCAGCCCATGCTGAACGCAACATTGCAAGGAACCAGATTGTTGCTGTCGCCAAACATCCTGACCTCCTCAGCTGCACATTCTCCATTCAATGGTGGGTGTTGGGTGGCGTTGAAGTCGAACGAGTAAGCCTGGTGAGTGGTGGTACAGTTGGGAACTGCTTCGCCGTCCCGGATGTACGTGTAGTTGATAACGGGAGCTTTGACTGTCGATTCGAAGGTGCCGATGGCGGAACACGACGGGTCCAAGCCGAACCCTCTCGTTCGCGCCGTATAGCTGTCGCTCGTCCCCTCCACCCCGGGCCCAAGGGTAAACGGCTGAAAAAAGTAGTCATGGGTAATCCAAGCGGGAAGAGGTGTACCTTGAGAGATGTTGTTCATCGTTATGTAGAAAGGCACTCCGTAAGCTGTCCTACTGGTACTAAAAAGCTGTCTGGCCTCAATGGAGTAGATTGACGTGCCGTTCAACTGCGGCAAGAGGGTTTGCTGAAACTCTTGCGGGCTTTGAATCACTACCGGAAACTCGTTGAAGAGACCACCGAGGCCGACAGCGAGCAGATTCGAAAGGAGAGCCAAGACACATATCGCCATGAGCATGAAATGACCGGACTTTGCTGCACGCCACAGAGCCAGTTGAGGAGGTAAAGATGTGTATCTTGCGTTGATGGATCCGCCGGCAGTCTTTCGACCCATCCATAGATCTCGGAACGGTTGAATAATGCAGAGGAGTCGGTTGACAAGCACCCAAAAGGGCTCGAGAAGCGTCGCAAAAATCGTCGGGACATAATTTTCCAGGATCTGTAGGACCTCGAAGTTTGTCGTCGGCCGAATGAGCCCTGCTCTAAAGTTAGACAATAATTCCATAAAGGAGAGGCGACAAGCGGACCTCGGTTCCTTTTCTCTTCCAACTTTAGATAGACGAGAGCAACAATAGCGCTGACCATGGCCACTATCACTGCGAAACCAATACCGCGCAAACAGACTAAGAGGTTAACTTGCTACCAACAGCATAATCCTCAGCGCGGCAACGAGCCGATGCGCATGATTTTGAGCCGTTCCTGGCCTCGAACACTACATCGCGCCAACAGGACGTGATGGCGTCCAGGGATCGTGCACCAACTCGGTGCTCGACGTGGGCCCGAAGTCATGGGTGTTGAGGAATGAGAGGTGATGGCTAAGCGCTGGAGAGATGATCGAGGGGCCGCGGCCCTGCGGGGGCTAGACCAGGACCTAGTTATGCCTTGCCACTGCTGAGCCTCTTGCAAATTCATTATTTTGGTTACCAGACTCTGTTTTGTCTTCTTGCGGTATTGCTAGTCTGCCTTTCGAATTTCTTCGTTTCACATACTCTGTGAGTTGACAGAGTGTTGACAACAATGGATAGCATGAGTTGGATGAAGAAGGGGAAGAGGTTGACAGGGGTAGAGACATCTGTCTGCAGTGACAAATTGGGTTGCAGTGAACCATTAGGATTAAGCGCAGGGCGCGAATCCCTTATTGGGGCGCTGAGAAAACGTTTGGGCCGACAGTCCATCATGGCAACTCCACTCCTCCGAGCGACTTATGCAATTATGCAAGGTCAACATAATCCTTCTCTCGATACCTTGATGAGCTTGTGCAAAAACTCAAATAGATTTGGGCTAGGCTCATTGAAGACAGTTGAACCGTGATAGTAAACTGAAGTTGTTCGTATTGTCGGGCCGATCCCGGAAGGAACGGGAACGAGACGGAGCGTGGCCCCACCAGTTCCGATGTGGTCCCGTATATGGGGCCGATCCGTCGGTCGGTCCCCCAGAAAGCCACGGGGCTTAAAGGTTGTCCTTGTTGTGTCAGGCAAGTACGGCACTGCTGACATCATGATAAAACAAGGGCGGGTTGGTCTCTAGGGCACCGAAGTTGAGGGATGCTTGGGCCATTACGGGATGTATAAGATGGACCAACAAACTACTATAGTTGATTATTGAACAACGGTTATCCCGCACCTAAGTAATGAAGAACTACAACATGTGCATCTCTGTTTTGTCCAGGGAATTTCACATGGTGACATCATTCGCACTTGCAGCTAGTATGTTGGATGAGAAGACCGGTAAACCAAGAGATGGTAACATACTAAACCCTTTGCCTACTTGACCTGGTGTAAGCTATACGTTGCTGAACCGAAGTCTCGTGAGCTTGGTCCCGTAGGCGTACAGTTTGCGAGATTGTGACACGCTTGACAACTGCATTGGCATAGATACTGTTTATCAACCCTATGTTCATAATGGAACTCACTCCACCAAGGAAGATGGCTCCCGATCAACACCCCTCACTACTGACCGTCCACCTTCTTATAATGCTGCGTAAAATCATACCTCACCTCAAAGCTCCCCATCATCAACTCCTTCATAAACCCCGGATCTTTCTCAGCCCGCACGCACATCTGCATAAACCCATCCCTCTCCAACCTCGTCCCCGGATCCGCATCCGACACCCGCCTAAAATTCTCCTGCGATATCGGGTCGATAATCGCCTTCCACTTCTCCCGCCTCTTCTCGCTATACAGCTCGAGTATCCCCTCATCCGCCACCCCATCCCAGATGCCCGCAAGACAATCGTACAACCCACCCACATCCACGAACCCGCCCGTGATCCCCAGCCCGCCCCAGGGATTACACAAGTGCGCCGCATCAGCCGCCAACATGAACCGGCCCACGCGGAACCGCGGCGCGCACCGCTGGTGCATCTTGTAAGGCGCAAAGTTGACCACTCTATACTCGTCGGGCCCTGGGTGGCCCGGCAACATCTTTCTAAACTTTTCTTGCTGGCGCGCCTTAAGCTCCTCGTGCGAGAGGTTCGGCTCCTCGCCGTAGGTAACGCGGTACAGTCCGTCACTTGTAATCTTGGCCGCCATGAAGAAGTGCTCCGGGTGGATGATGAAGTTCGCGTCGTGGAAGCCGAATTTCCCCGCAAAGTCGTAGTACGTGTTCGTCGCGACGATTTGCTGGTCCCACGTCCAGCCGGGGTACTCGTCTCCAAACAGTCCCTTGCGGATGGCGCTGTTGGCGCCGTCGCAGCCGATAATGTAATCGGCCTCGATGCGCTTCTTCTCTTTCCCGCCGGGCGTCTCGACATCGACCCAGGCGCGGGCCTCATCCTGCCCGAGGCCGACGACGCGGTGTTCCCAGCTGATGGTCCCGTTGTACTTGTTCAAGAACTCGTCGAGCATGAGCTGGTCGAGCTCTTGCAGGACGAGGCAGGTTGTCCTCAGATCTTGACCGTCGACGTCGCGGAGCACGCCCGAATCGAAGCCGGTGATGACGCCGTGGTCGCCGAGACGGCGCCATACGAACTTGTTCAGCGTCATGCTGCGGCGGCGGACTTCCTCCAAGATACCTGCTCGCTTGAGATCGGGGATGGCGGCGGGACCGTAGTGGGCGGCGCGCGGTTGCTGGTCGAGGTGGTCCTGGGCTTCGAGGATGTGAACGGGAATGCCGTGCTTGGAGAGCAGCAGGGCGAGGAGGAGGCCGGATGGGCCAGCTCCGACGATCACGACCTACTCGCTTGGTTAGCAGACCGTTCGTCTGGGGAGGCTGGGCAACGTACCTTGTTGAATGGGCGACTCATCTTTGGCTCTAAATCTGTATAAGTAACAATTGCAAGTCTGCTTTGGAGTGAAGAAGAAGTTGAAGGTCGTCGTATGGACCCTGAATATGATGGGAACGTCGCGACCTAACCCCGCAACGGGATCGCATCGTGTCGGACATATTTGCCAGTGATGCGCCGATGCAACGGTAGTTTTCCCCATCGCCGGGGTGTCATTCCGAGAATGTTTACCCACCGGCTCCATTTCACTGGTAGACTTTGACCCCGCAGACGTCACCACGCGAGCGCCCGAACTGACAGACGGAAGCTGGATGAGGGGCACGCGCGGGGTTGAAGATTCGGCAGATCATTTTTTTTTAGATTAATTATCCGTACATGAAAGCAATACAGATCGGATGGGGTTCTCTTTTAGACTTTTGCGCTAAACCTGATTTTTGTACATACCAAAGGATGACTTCTAGGTAAAGTCTCATACTATAGGCTCTTGATGAATAACAGACGACCTTGGGCTGTGTCGTCATGTATCTCGATATTCCGTCGGGCGGGACATGATCCTGGTCGGCTATAAGAATCTCGGCTGCGAGGGAGGCCAGTTTCCAGGCATCTTATGAGAGTGCTTTCCGGAGAACCAATGGCTGGAGTTACCTCTTCTGTTTGGTGACTATTTGATGTATATGAAAGATGTTGATTGAATTGCTCCGATGCGGCTGCTTGCGTCACAGAGCTCCGGCTGGAGTCTGACGATTTACCGGGGCCGGTCGGCCCCACATGAGCATCATGCAGCGGCACCAGCCCCGGTAAGAGGTATCCGCCCTTTCTAGACATCGTCGACCAAGGCAGTTCACTGGCGATCTCAGACTAAGGCAGTGCGTACTACAGTTTTGACTTCTGAGACATTGTTTTCGGGATTAGGTACTGCTTAAGAGCAACTGATCAAAGTCCGCGGGTTGAGGAAATAGTCACTGAAATCTGTGCCATCAAAGATCATACGCCATTATGAACAGCGTCTACAAATCTCCCCAGTTGGATGAAAGAGAAGAGTAGATTAGGGTAAAGAAGCAGTCAATAAACGATTATAAACCAGAGGTAGCGATTTTGAAAACCGGAAGACTTTCATCGACATTGCTGCCCCGGCCGCATGTACTCACCGTTTTCCTCACTTGATATTGCCATCACCAATTGCCAACGACTGGTGGAGATCTATTCAACGAGAACTCTCTATGGATTTCATTAGGATCTTGGAGCACGAACGATCACAGCTGCGTATGATAAAATACTATCCGTCGGTCGCTACTTCGGACTTATGCTTTGACAGCCATCCGACGGGATTATATTAATGTTCACTCCTTCGCTACCTCTCAAAGACAAGCCCAAGTCAGAACAATAAAGAAGACATTGCATCTACCATAAATACTGAGACTCCGCATAAGCCAAGGCAACAACTTACTCAATGTCTTCCAATCACTTCAACGGCGCATAAGAAACCAAGAGGGCCCACAGTCGCACAGTAAGCGTAAAGGTAAGCGTATCCGAGCCGAGAAACAACAGCCGTGTCTCGGATCAGACTGACTCGAAAGAAGGTTTGACGCCGAGTCGACGACTGTGTAGACACCGACTTTGCGCCGACTCGACGTCGGCTCGGCTATGGATCCCACCCTCTCAGCCAGCCTTACACCCTAGAAACCTAATCTCATCCTCTTGGTCATTCATCCCCTAGGTTTCACTGTTGCATCTCTTCACCGCAAGCTCACCACCTCTCACCTCGCCACCAAATATGGAACCTGTGTTGATTTGGCAGCCTCTGCGACTGATGAAAGATAGCTTTTTGATTGCGCGCTGGTCTCAGTTATACAATTTTCCTCGAAACTCAAGTCGACTTCCCAAATCCCATCACTGTCATGTTGTCTCTCAGAAGACTCATCTTCTGGCGCACGGAGGAAGGGGGAAGAATGCTATGTGCTGAACATGTTTCAAAAAAATCGTGCTTTATTCTGCTGGTATCATAGAATTCTTCCGCTTGCCCGGGGCACGATTTTTCCTGGCCCTTTTCGCCCTTCCGTGCTGTTTGTACCCGTGTCTCTTCGAAAGACTATGGGATTTGATGCGACAAATGAAAAGTAATGTAACAAAAGACTCTTTGAGATGATGATTTGAGAAAAGAAAAAGTGAGTTACCAGTTTAACAATACATAAAAGTCTTTGATGAGACTCCTGAAACCCCGTTGGGAATATATATAATATGACCATCATATATACAGGCTATCTATTCAGCCAGAGAAGTGAAATGTTTTTCGATCGGATAGTGAGGTTGGAGGGAGCGAAGAGTCAGAAAGAGAAAAAAAAGAGGTCGACATTTTCGAAAAACTGGCTGATTTGGCTCTTGACTATCCAACTTCCGTTGTCGTAAAGCGAAGGCATCATGCGCTTTATTCCCCC